TGGGAGATGTCTCTCCTTTAGGGCCTTTACGGCCTTTATTTATAATGAAATTCTTTATTTACATTCGTGGGGCTACTCTGCCCTTAATCACTATGCTGGCTACATCGCCCTTTTCCCTCTTACTGACTATAACCCCCATCTAGCCCTCCAGGTCAGATATGCCTCCTCTGTCTTTTTAGCCGTTGTGGCCGGAATTGCCAGTGCGGCCAGTGCAGCCAGTGTGGCCCGGGAAGCCTTAATTTGGAGTTACCGAAGTCACCTGACAATTAATTTATGGGGGGAACCCGACCTGGTCACGTTACGGGTTTCACAATGCCTTGCACCCAGAATCTAGTATCTAGTACATGATATGATACGATAGCTACTATAGATACTATAAAAATGGCAGGTGTATATCATTCCTTTTATCGAGGAACGTTAAAGCCAGGTACGTTAGGGTTAGTTTTTTGATGCAGTTAATAGTTATATATATATATATATCAAGAATGGGACTTATGCAATATGTAGATATATATGTAAACGTACCTGGCTTTAACGGACCCCTTTTATCATTATATAATTACAAGGAAATTAAATCACAAAATCTGATCCCAACAAAAGATGTGAACACTGCAGATCATTTTGTCATGTGAGAATCGGAGATTTTGCGGTTTCAAAGAACCTCAAAGATTTTTTAAATATATGTATAATGTAATGTTTCTAATTATTGCGCTTTGCAAAAAGGTGTGACCCTGTGATTTTCTTTTGTGATGATAGAGGAAAACTTCCGTGATTCTAAATTTCCTATTGATCAAATATGTTAGTGTACTGTCTAAAATCTGTAAAATTCTGTAAAATTCGGAAAATCACCTAATTTCCCGTGATTTTCACATGACATTATGATCTGCAAGGTCACACCTTTTTGCAAAGCGCAGATCACAGGTATAAAAATTTCTATTATAGTCAGATGATCGACGCACCTAAAATTTCATATGAAAATTTGCGTCAAATATGCTTCCCGACTTTTATTTAGTGAAAAGAAGCTGTAATAACTAGTTGGGGATTTGTTCATTAGCATTGGAAGCACCTTCTTATAAAATTTGAATGGTGGTTAAAAATTAAGCTGAGAAGAATCAAGGTCCCGAAGTTCAATTTTTTTTGCTGCTGTATTATGTAGCACAACAATGACGCATCTCATTTGACCAAAAAATGACGTATGTTAGTCAGGGTCACATGATTAGACTTAAGTCTAACTAACTGATTCTGACTAACATACGTCATTGTTTTGGTCAAATGAGATGTGTCATTGTTGTGCTACATAGTACAGCAGCAAAAAATTTATGACCGGTATTATATTATACTTATTTTAAAATGCAACATAAAAAGTGTCAAAACAATACAAAAAATTTTAATGAGAACAATGTTCCATGACGTTTTATGACGGCTGATATTTTTTCTTTTTCTTTTTTTTTTTTTTTTTATAAATAAACGTTCAGTTGTCCTAATTTCATCCCTCAAATATCATATTGATCTCTTACGATCTCTACATTTTTAAAATCTAATTGATCCCTCTATCTCCATACCATGACACGAAGAAATAAAACAGAACAAGAATGTTATTACTATTTGCTCGACGAGCGCAAGAAATTTTTGAAACGATTAAAACGTAACCTCTCCGGCCAATCAAACATAATCAAAAGAGGAAGCAAATAAAATAAAAACTGCCTGTAGTATTATAATAAAAGATTTCCCATCTATTAACTATTATAAAAAGGTTAGAATTGGAAAAGGACATTAAAAAATTCCAAAATAAAATATCAAGGCTCGAAAGAGCGAATAAAAGAAATGAAAAAATCAAACATTTAAAAAATAAATTAGAAAGCGAAAAATTTATGAATATAACAATCATAAAAAGTCTGGAGGATAATCAAAAAAATTTAAAAAATAAGTTGAAAGAATCAGAAATTAAGAAAAAAAAGTAAAAGAATCAGAATCAAAAATTATAATTTGTCAAAATAAAATTAGCTTTTTAGAAGTGGAGAATGAAAGATTTAAAGAAGAAAATAAGGAAGCTCTTAGAGAGTTAAAGAATTTTCACGACGCTGCATATGAAGCCATTGATATAGAAAATAATTAATTTTTTCGAATTTTTTTTACGAACTTTTTTTTTTGTATATCATATATAGATTCTTAAATTTGAATAATCTCAATGATTCTCCGCTATCATGATCACAAAAATCACATGTTCACATCTTTTTGCAAAACGCTATAAAATAGAAATTGTAATCAATTCTTGAGTAGTTCTTCATTGATCTCTATAATATTTATAAAATGTCACCGTCAAAAAAATAAAATAAAATAAAAAGCAGTCCAACACGAAAAAACAGATGCTATTATTCTTCGAGTACAACCTAGTGAAGAATCAACTTCAGCTGCCCTTATTACTCTCGTCATAAGTTAAATATGTAAAAACGTCAACCAACCGAGAATCCACCGGTTTTTAGGTTCTCGTTTATATGGGTTTTGAATCTAACGAAGAAATTGTTGACGGAATAGTTGAATTTGTAATACAGTATGATTAAAGACTAAGAGATGGTATCTGCAATTGTTTTTTGAGCTTCCTGATATTTTTTTTATTTTTCATAGAATCTTTTAATACAAATAATAAAAAACAATTCATTATACCAAAAACGAAGATCCGATCTCTATTAATAATCTATAGATGGTTTTTTGTAAAATTAAAATAATTATCTCTCTTAACATTTTTACTAATAAATATTTTAATTACGAAATAAAATACGCACGTTATTTATATATTCATTATAATGATAAACGTTATTTACTCGCTAAAAATATTTTCCGTTAAATAAAATTTATTCCCGACACTTTTTGATTCATTGATTAAGGCGCTTGAGAACGCCCTAAACTAATTGATTATAATTAAGGAACTTAATGAATTCAACAAATAATTAGTCAATTAGGAGCCTGTAGTGTCACAAATAAAATGTCTTTAGTCTTTATCGATATAAATTATATGTTATTAAGTATTCTAGTAAATAGTGGTATATAAAATATTCGATTCAATATTGAAACTAATGAATGAAACTTTGTCGGAAAGTATTTAATAAGATGTACTATCGTATTTGATTTATTTCTAATGAGAAACACCAATAAAATTTTTTCGTCGGTAAAATGTTTTAAAAAAATTTTCTTTTTAATTAGTGTTCTAGTGATGTTGTATGGAATAATGTCCAATGGAAAATTCTATAAAATTATTCACTTAAAAAATGAGTTATTTTTAAAGTAAGTAGATCATGCGGAAAATTTGCTTGAGAAACGGTGTAAAAAAAAAAAAAAAAAAAAATTACCGTACAGTGCTGCCCGGTTTTTTTAAAAAGTACCGGTATTAAATAAATAGTACCTCGGGGGTACTATGAAAGTTTTGACCATGTGAGTTAATCACATAACGTATGAATATAGTAAAAATGAGTTTTTTGAAGATTGATTAGTACCGGGATACTTTTTAAAAATGTCAAAATTTACAATTGAATAGTACCCCGATACTATTCAAAGGGGGTACTTTTCCAGGGGGTACTGTATGCGGCGCTGTACGGTAGGTTTACCGTTCTAAAAAATTTTCAAATCCGGCTTATAATTCAATAAATAAAAAACTTTTAAGGGAAAAAAAAATTAAGATTATGCACAATTCTAAAAATGTCTATATCGAAAAAGAAAATACATCACAGTGTATAAATCGACTACAAATTCTGGATATAGTAATTTCAAATTAGTTTAAATCTGGTTTTTTTGATCGGAAATATCCTGTCAAAATTTCCAAACTAAAGCATATTGGCTAAAACTGTGCAGTTTGAATGACAATCATACCTAGAGACGGATAGCAGTTTATAGTCTATTTATAGTGACTTGCGTAGGCGAATATACAGCTAGGTATAGACATAATTAATGTTTCAATATTTCAGCCCACCGGATCAAAAAAAAAAAAGGTACATACTTACTTGGCAAAACTATAAACTCCTTAAGTAAGGAGATACTAACTCTTTTTGCTAATACGGACCTTCGTAATATAGAAATTTGAATCTCAAAATTCATTTAAAACACTCGCATTCTATATATTAAATACTGTACAATATAAAAAGAATGAAAGATTGTATTTTGTTATAGGGTGGTTGAAAAGCAAGCTTGTCAGCTTGTCTCGTCAGCTTGCTAACCACCCTAAATTTTGTTGATATCATTTATCTTGGTTTCATAACGTCTTAACTGGCCGTCAAAGAGACTAGCTACGTATATGCGCATTAAGGTAGATCAAAATTCTCAATTAGTGTATTAATGACCAAATATGTAGTGAATAAAAATATACAGTAACTGAAAATAATAAAAATATTAATAGAAAATACTGATCATTTAAAAAATACATCTTTTTATATTTAGAATGTAGCATTAACTTTCGTATCACGCATACTCAATAAATCTTTATATTCAATGTGGTAATTAAAACATTTTTTTCTATTTTATAATAATAGATTAAAGCATTTTAAGGGATACAAACATTCCTTTAAAGATACTGTATATAAAAGACACTATTAATCACGGACTTTTTTTTGTCAGTTTTAAAACGCATTTAGTGTTTAAAAAAAACAAAAAAATATCACATACTTTTTAAAAAAATAACAGAAAATGATTATTGTAAAAAAGTTTTTAATTCTATACGTTCTATTATGGACAATTTCATTAGTAATAGCTTTACCTCAAAAACGGTCAATCCAAAAACGAGCAATATTTAATACCGACCTTTTTACCGCATTCACACCTCAACCAGCAACTACAGCTCCTACAGTTCGTACATATGATTTTTACTTACAAAGAGTGTCTCTCGCACCAGATGGTATAAGTCGAAATGTCTGGGCGGTAAACGGTGAATTGACAATGTAACAAAATTATAACTAAACCGATTTCAGATTTTAGGCATCTAACTAAAAAATTCAAAATATTAACAAAATAGGTCAATACCCTGGGCCAATAATCCTAGCGAATAAAGGAGATCAGATCATGTACAATGTAATAAATAATTTAGGCGAACCAGTGACTATTCATTCACACGGAATTTTACAGACAAATAGTAACTTTTATGATGGGTAAATCAAATTTTTTTTTTAATTCGTTTTTTTTTTTGTATCGTTCTAACTAAACTGGAATATTAACAGTGTTCCTGGAGTGACACAGTGCCCTATACCTAATGGTGCTAACTTTACATACAATTTTACAGTTAGTGAGTCTGGAACCTATTGGTATCATTCTCATTACATTTCACAGGTACACGTGACTTATTATATATATTTTTTTTTCAAGATTATACCAATACTTTTTCGATATACTGATAATATTCTTGATTTAATTCTAAGTATGTAGATGGGTTGTTTGGACCGCTTATTGTTCAGGATCCTGCAGATCCTCGATTAAGTTTATATGATTATGAATATGTGGTTTTCTTGAATGATTGGTACCATAATACTTCACATGAACTATTGGCTGCTAAAATGGTTCCATCCTATCAAGGAGTTAGCGTAAGTATTGATACATGTATATTAATAGTTATATATGTACTAAATTATACCGTGTATTATACTTCTAAACTATAGCCTGTTCCTGATTCTGTTCTCATAAGTGGTCTTGGTCAATATAACTGTTCCGCAGCCAAAGGTGTACCGTGCAACTCTTCAGTAGCCACTCCAACCTACGTCGTAACAAGTGGTAAAAGATATCGTTTCCGTATAATAAATTCAAGTGCGGACACTCATTTCCACTTTTCAATTGATAACCATGAATTAACACTTATTGAAGCTGACGGAATAAAGTAAATATTACTAGAATTGCAATTTTTTTTTTTTTTATAATAGACTTATCTAACTTTTTACTAACATAAAAAATTTAACCTACTCAGCATTCAACCATCCACGATCCGATGGCTTCCTATTAATATTGGACAACGTTATTCCGTAATAGTGAATGCTTCACAACCTGTGGGAAACTATTTTATTCGCTCAAGTGCTACCATGGCTTGTATGCTCCCTGCAGCTACCATGAATGTGACTATAAATTATAATTCCGCGATAAATTGGAATGCTACTGGAATATTACATTATGTTGGTGCTGCTAATAATTCGGCTCCAACTTCCACTCAATTCCCGTACCCGGACAGTATTACCGGTGTTAACTGTACCGATGTTCCGGACGAAAATTTAATACCACTAGTTGCTGATGCTCCACCGACTAATATCTCCCGTTCTAATTCATTCACATATAATATTACTTTTGGTCCAGACCCAGTAACCCAAGTCGGTGTATTTTTTATTAATGGCAATAGTTTTAGTCCAAACTTAACTAGCCCTACATTAATGCAATTGGATTCTGGTGTTAATCCTCAAAGTTTCCCCTCGAATCAAAGTATATCTTCTTATGAAGCTGGTGGTGTTGAAATAATTTTTATTAATAACATGCGAGATGCTCACCCTTTCCATCAGGTATTCATTTTTTTTTTTTTTATCTGTCGTTTATGATATATAATCCTCTTATTAATTATAATTAATGCATATTTAATATAGCACGGTCACAATTTTTACATTCTTGGCAGAGGTAATGGTACGGTGCCAGACCCAAGCACCTATAACTTGGTTAATCCACCCGTTCGTGATACCGCGACGGTACAAGCACTAGGGTAAATAATTTATTCTTTTTTTTTTCAACATTCTCATTTTCATTCTTATAACCTCATCTTCACATTCTTATTCACATTAAAAAAAAAAGATGGATGACAATACGATACTTAGCTAATAATCCAGGTATATGGTTATTACATTGTCATATTGAATGGCATGCTGAAATGGGTATGGTAATACAACTTGTAGAACGACCGAACGATTTAAAACAATTAACTGTACCATCTAATGTATTAGGTTTATGTCAGAAATAGTCATTTATAAATTATTTATCGTTATTTTTTTATTTATTCTATTCATAGATTAATACTTTTTTCAATTCTCATGTATTTTTACCTTTTTTTATGTATAACGTACATTATGTATTATTGTATACCATACAATTTTTATTAATGTATAATTCAACAAAGTTAGTTTAGTCATAATTTCATAAAGACAAAATTTTATGTCTATTGTTAAATAAATTGTAAATGTTATTTATTTAGCACCATTGAGGAGTACAAGTGATACAAACTAGTCTAGCGATAAAAGAATTATAGAACTCATAAATAGGGAAATTAAGTATGAGTGATTTAAACTTAGATTAGTTAAAGGTTTTAGAAACGAATTATTGCTTATTTTACATATAAAAAAAAAAAAATTAATTCCTATCAATTTTAAACATATAATTCTATATATCACACCGAGAATCAGGAATCTAATAAAGAGTGACACTGTGATTTTTGTGATAAGGTTACTGATTTCAAGTATGATTTCAAATTATTATGTATTCTCTATTAAATTCTCATTAGATTCTTATTAACATTCTCTACCGTATAATCACAAAAAATCATGGGGGCCACACCTTTTTGCAAAGCGCTATATAAAATCCTTATAATTGTTGGAAAATCTAGAATCGGCTGATTTCACATAACATCGTGATCACACTTTGCTATAATTTTTAACCAATCATATATTTCTAGATTCCCAATTCCCAGTGTGTACGCGGAATTTCTGATCACAGTAATTTGAAAGGGACACTTCAAGATCACTGAACCCAGTGATCTACATGACGTCATTTGTTTACTAGCACTAAACAAAATTATACTCCAACCCTTACCCTAACCCTAAATTAGGCCGAGTGTCACTGGGTTCAGTGTTCTTTAATCTACCCATTTGAAAAGCACTCTAAATTAATCAGCCTGGATCAGTCCGATATAGCAAAATAATAATAATAATAATAATAATAATAATAATAATAATAATAATAATAATAATAATAATAATAATAAATTTCTGAGCCGTTGATGCGGCGGCTTGGTCGCGTGAATTCTCCTGAAGTTGCTCCGCATTCTTGGCTAAAACTAAGCCCGCTTAGGTTAGCGTCATGAATTAAGTCATTTTAAGCAGGCACCTGAAGTAATAGCTCCAAGAGGAAGCAACTTGATCACAACATGTATATCTAAATTACAAACTTTGAACGTATACAATATATTAACAATATATTTTCAAACCTTATTTATTCATGCCAAGATAAAATTCATTTATCCAATTGGTGTATTTTATTCATACATTAAAAAAAAAATTTGATTTCTTTTATTAATATAGAATATTTACAAAGGAAAGAAATTATTTTTTTTACTAATTTCTTCTAACAAGCTATGCAATATTACGTATTAAAAAAAGGAATCAAACCTTAAAAAATTTTCTTTATCAGGTCATAATCAGATGTAACAAGCATAGCGAACTTTTATTGTGATTGGCTGATTTTTGTAGATCATCTCGTAATACTATATCAGTTGATCAGCATGTCACACATAAAAATTTTACATATGATTTTTACAAGTTACACAAATTGACAGTTTACATTTTTAGGTTTTTCGTCCAAAGTCTTAGTTAAAATACTCAATGCTGGGGTTTCTACGAACACAACGATATAAATAATGTGAAAAATTAATGGTTTCCTGTAACATGTGATGCCTTCAAAGATGGCAACCATTTTGTCTTCCTCTGCAAGATTCTTCTTCAGTTCTCAAGATCTTAATACGAAAAAGGGTTTGTTAGATGCGCACAAGTAAGATCTTTCTGTGAAATGCATCCTCGAAAGGACAGTGTGTTATAAAAGTACAGAGAAATTTAGGAAAAACCGTTTTATACTATATAGATTTCAATTTTTACAAAGTTTTTTTTTTTTTTTTTTTTTTTTATTCATAAAATATTATCGTTCAAGGTAAAATTGTATTTTATTAAATTCTTTATTTTTTTTCAAACTACATAGATTCTAACAAAAAAGAAAACTTATTTCGATCTCTTATATCAGTTATACCATCGATCTCGAATTTGTTTAGATGTTCAGTAATCAGTAAATTTGGATAATTTTACTACTAACTTGTTAACAACTTCTTTAGGTAATATCATAGAGTTCTTATATTCTTCAAGCTGTGTCAGGGTATTTTCTTCAGCAAGTGCAGTTTGTGTATTATATGTAGTATTCAAAATGTGAAGCCAGAAGACAGATCTGTTTCAGGCAATAGTACTAGTTGTAAACCTTCATTGGTTTCTTCAACTTCTATACTACATGACTCTGAAGCTTGCATTGAACTACTACCTATTTCATCTGCTCTTACTACCTGATTATCTTTTTCATATTTTCTTTTTGCTACACTCATAGGTATTAATTCTTTTTTACCTTGTCTAGCTTTTACTTGGAGAGCAGTGTGATAGATATCTTGCTCAGCAATTATATTTATTTTATCAATTTCTCTTTAATAATATCTAAACAGTTATTGATAGCTGGTATCTGTTAATTGTGTGGTTTCTGTAAATAATAGATAAAATTCTGGTTGTGGGTTGTTAAATGCAGTTTTAAGCTCATTAATTAATGTCTAAAGAGTTTCTTGATGATCTTTAATTGTTTGTGAATTTTTGCTTACTGATTTATCATCAGTAAATTTTGAGATTAGAAAGTTAAGTCATTCATATTCTGTTTGTATTGCTTTGATATTTTGCTTTAGATTTTCTAAATCAGTTGTTTGACTAGCTAAGTTTTCTTTTACAAATTTAATACTGAATATTTCTAAGGCTTCATCAAAGGCAAAATAATATTCTTTCTATATTATATTAACTGAAGGTATGGCTCGAAGGTTTTGAAGAAATTATGACTTGCTCTGAAGATTAGTTAAAAATTATATTACAAACTTAGTATATCTTCTTTTTTCAGTAATTAGAAATAAAGATGCAAATGCTATTAAGCTATATATTTGCAAATCAAAGTTTGCTACACAAATACCAAGCTTGTATAATTTTAAATATCCTGCCTATTGATAAAAATTATATCATATTATTATCAAATTGTTTTCATTTGGAATATCTTTAACTAAAATATTTTTTTTCTGAGAATATAGGTAAATTGCAACTCCAACTGCAACCCAAATATGTTCAAGTATTCAAAATATTGTATGATAATTGGCAACTTGCTTAAATTTATTCAGAAACTTAGTACCAAGTTGCGTAGCAAGTTCAAAAAGTTCATAACCAAAAAAACCAAAAATTAGTACACTACATGTTGCTTTGTTTATATACCATTATCCTAGAATATAATACACTTCTTGCTCTTTATTTTTGTAGTTTTTTATATAAGAATAGATCACTTCATCACACACTAAATTTAATACACTATTTTTTGTATACCTAAAATCTTCTAAAAACATATCAACAGTTTGGTAAATATGTTTATTTTTATTCAGTACTTCTCCTAGTTCAAGAATTACAATATTTGAAAATGCTATAAATAATACTAAATTGATTTTTTTTCTAATAGCTACATCAATATGTTCAACACTAAATATTGACTTTTCATTAATTAATTAACTAAAGATTTTATTTACTTCATTTTCCATTTTTTTATAATAGAACTTATACCAAAAATATTTTGAATTTCTGGCATTTTTTTAGATAAATTGGCAAGCTTTAAATGTTGAAACTGAAAAACTATCTGTAGTGTTGCATGTGTAGTAGTACAGATAACATTATAAATATTACTATATTAGAAGGTTTTATCTTTCATGTTAATATTATTTATAATAGCATAGTTTAAAATATTTGGATGTAAATTAAGCCTTGATTGAGGATCTACAGCAGATATTCATTTTTTTCTAAGAAGTGTTTCATAGCCTCTCTCATATGCTACTACTTAGACTGCATGAAGAACTTTATACAAGTATTTTATTATTTTTGCCATTGACAAAGAGAAGAAAGCACATGTGTAAACCAAATTTTCTACTGTAAAAAAGCAATAGTAAGTATTAATGATGCAAAAAAAATAATAATTGCTTTTATCTTTTTTTCTTCTAATTTTGGTGATAGTAAGCCACGCTCTCTTCATTTTCTTGCTAAAACTTAATTCTTTTTTTCTTTTAGGGTCATAATCAAGTCAAAAAAGAAGTTTATAAGAAGTAGTAGCATTGCAACATGGTATTCATTTAGCATTTCTGGTTCTTCAAGTAATAATAGTCTCTGTTTGAGTTCAAGTCATTCTTGTAATAAAGAACAAGCTAGTATTTTGCTGAAGTCTTTGCATGTAGTAGGTTTTAATTGCATTACTTGTGTTTTCTTATTAATATTAATTTTTTTTATTTCAAATAATGTTTTAATTAAGAAAAGACTAAGAACTATAGAAGTCATGTAAACAGTAAAAAGCATGATAATAATATCTTATAACTTAGAAATACTTGTAGAAATATTGGTAAAGAGATTGACAAGCTCTTTTAATACATTAACCTTTATAATATCATTGTTTGATTCTGCAACTTGCTCAATCCACTTGCTAAATAATTTTAAGGTATGCTTAGTATTGGTATTGTGTTTTTCTTAGTCTAGGCATGCAACTGGTTTAATTTCTTTTTCTTGTTAAACATATAGATAGCCTCTATTTATTATGAAACAGTCAGTGCAAACAAAATAAAACTTGTTACTATTCACCAATTTAGTTGATAGTCCTTCATATTCATTAACTGCTGAGCAGTTTAGTAACCTATGGTATAGTGCTTAAATTGTGCAATCATAAACTTTCAGCATATGAATAAACATGTTTTACTTCTTGTAACAAACTTTTTAAGTTTTTTGCAAAATAAAAAACAGTGAGTTTTAATAATGCTTTCATTAATTGATATATTTGCTTTTATACTATTATGTAGAACTTTTTGATCATAGTTAAGATAATGCATACAAATACCTAGCTTTATATTCTCATTCTCAACATCTTTTACAGCTTGAAAATTGATCTCTTATATGCTACATAGTTGGTTTACGCTTTGAACTCCTGTTTTATTATATCTCTAGATTATGTCTAGATCATTATCATTATTAATAATGACACAATTTGTATATTTTATAGTATGACCTGAATTCAAAGGAAGAATAGATTTATTGAATTCTTTCTCAAGTATTTCCATCTCATCGTCACTTTCAAATAATTTGTTATTCTCAAGAAATTCATCTTCTATTTCCTCTATGGGACTAGCTATCATTTCTTGTATTTTTCAAATAAACTCCAGTCAAATAGAAGATCTTCATCATGTGTATCTATTTGTTCAACACCAACATTAGATTCTCATTGAATTTATGAGTTTCTTCAAAGCTGAACAATATTTCATGTGAGAATTCTATTATAATTAAGTATAATTGATTAATTTTTCTTTGCGTGTTTAATTGTTTGATTATAAACAAATAGTTTATAATTTAAAATAATTACAAGTTAAACAGGCAACTATTTATAAGAAATATAATGAAAATAATATCTTGTTGATCAAAAGGAATTTCTAATACACAGTCTGCAATATGAAAAATAACTCTAGAGTATATTATTGAAAATTTTGTTTGAGTGAAAATCTTTTATTTTTGATGTATTAACTCTTTGTTTTTTGAAATATACGAAACCTCTGAGATCTGAACCTTTTTGTCAATACTTTCTAACTGAAGCTTCTAACTGATATTCTCAAAACAAAAGATTTTGCTAGAAGCTAATTTTATTTCCTTTTTTAGATTAGTGCTTTATTTTATTTAATGTATTTTTTTCTTATTTAGATAAAATCTTGAGAAGAGATCAATGTAAAACAATTAATTGTAAGCTTTTTGACAAAAAAAACCTCAATTAGAGTTAGAACTAACAGGTAAAAATTTTTCAATTGGTTAGTTGGCAGTGCAAAATTTTCAATCGATTAATTGTTAACTAGAACAACTAATCAATTAATCGATTTCAATACAGTATGAATTTGCAAAATTTTTCAATTGAATATTTGCCCTAACTAATCGATTTTTAACATTTTAGCTTACAATTGAGCAATGAAAATTTGCAGATATTTGCATTCATTTACATGCATTTATATTTGTATTTGCAAGAAATTTGCAATAAAAAAAAAATCTCCATTTTGTCTTGTTATAAAATTTATTAAACATTGAGGTGGGATTACTGACTTGCCATAATTTAAAATACAACCACTTTGATTTAATAATTATTTTGAAATTTGATCAATTTCATCTTTATTTTTTTTTAAAAAAAATACATAGTAATACAATTTCATATTTTACAATATAAAAAAACAATTTGAATAAAACTTAAATTTAAATTGTCACGACAACTCAATCCTCCCAAGATTTTTCAATAAATTTAATATAGCGGAACCTCTAAATAAACTCTCAGTACCATAGTGAAAAAAAAAAACAAAATATGAACTTATAAAGTACGCACCTACAGAAAGCAAAATATATTGAGCTCTTATTAGTTGGGACCAAGCTACATTGTGCATTTAAAAAGAATTTACAGAGTGCGTACACTTAGAGTGCACTTAGGAAGGTCTCACCGTAATAAGCTCAAAAAAGTAAATAAAAATATTATAACTTTGGGTATTATTTGTATTATTTCTAAAGACTTATAAATTGGTAAAATGCGAAGATCGTACTATGTATAGAAAAGTGAACCAGGTAATCTTTGGAGACGA